AGTGTCCGGGAACCCGGGCCACCAGGTCCCACAGCCCTTTTGCACTCTAGGGCCCTCTAACTGCTCTTTGTGACGCAGGTGGAGCCACGGAGCTGCAGGGGAATGGCCTGGAGTCCTAGTCTCTCGGGAGGCCTCCCTTCCTTCCACCCTCTCAGGGAAAGCCCTTCTCTTCCCCGTAACCCCGAAGACTGTGGCGCCACCACCTACATGAGACGTTTGGACCCTGCCGGGCCCCCGTAGCTCCCCTTCTCCAGCAGGTGGTTCTGGTCTTCTCCCCCACCTCGGGGCGCTCGCGTCAGCTGCGAACCTCTACCCACGCGCCAGCGCCGCAACCAACCGAGAAAATAAACAAACCCCCGCGCGCGGCGGCGGCGAGCGCGCCAGGCCCCGCCCCTGCCCCGCCCAGCGGCTCTCACGCCGCCCCCGCCGCCGGGACTTCCCTCCCGCCCTCGGCTCGCAGCCGCGCTCTCCCCGCCCCTCACCGCAGCCTGCAGCCGTGCTCCCCGCCGCGGTCCGCCTGGCCCTGCGCCCCGGGGCCCGTTAGTGCCTGCCTGCTCGCGGGGCCGCCGCGCGACCTCAGCCCGGCGCGAGCCCACCTCCGCCCCTTGACCCAGCCCAGTCCCAACGCCCAGTGCGGCCGCCCAGGGAGCCGCAGGAGCGGCGGCGGCGACGGGGGAAGAGGGAAAGGAGGGCCGAGCCGGCGGCCCCGAGGCTCGGTGAGTACGCCGAGGGCGGGCCCGTCTCGCGGAGGTCCGCTCCGGCGCCCGTGAGGTGGTAGTGGCGGCTCGGCTGCGCTGCTCCGTGCGTCCCGGACACGGCGCTTGGGAACGGCCTGAGGCGATGGGCCCGGCTGGCCGGAGCCGCCGGGCAGAGGGCGCGGGAGGGCCGCTCCTCGGGAAGGGCCGCGGCCCCTACGCTCGGCACAGGGCTCGGGGGTGGCGGAGAGCGTCCTGCGCTGACCCCAGGCCCGGCATTGGGGTCGTGGCTGCGTCTCCCGAGACCTCGCCGGGGTCCGGGGCTACCGCGGTCGCGGGGCTGGCGAGTGACAGGTGCCGCCGCCCCCTCCCCGTCGCGGGCATCCGCGCTCCCTCCTGGGGAGCCTGGCGCTCGGAAATTTCTGGAGCGACGACCTCACTCGCTGTTTTCTCCCTTTCAGGTTCTGTAGCTACTTTGTTCGAGTTCGGTCTCGCCCAGCCCGACTTCTTTCTCTGAGTACTTTGTGCGAATAAGTTTTGGAGCATCGGTTAACAGCCTATGGGTGAAATTTGGCTTTCATTCATGAATGAGGTATAGTGAATTACTTTTTGAGTAAAGTGTTCCTCCTCCTCACCGTGAGCTNAGACAGATGGGCATTTCCTCTTAAAGAAAGCTGTTAACCATCTGTAATATGAGAGGTCAAAGAGAAGCAACTAGAAATTCCATATTAAATTTTAAAGCACCTGTTTAAATGAAAACTCTTATCTGCAAGAGTTGAACATATTAAATCATTGATGGCCTTAAACACCCTAATTTAGAGAATTCAATTCCTCATTCTTTGAAGATTTTAGTACCAGGCTCATTATCCCTCACTCCAAGGCTACTCACAACTCCAACACATCATTCCTATGGATAATCCTTTGTGTATCTCTATCTCTATCTATCTCACCCTATCTATCTATCTATCTATCTATCTATCTATCTATCTATCTATCTATCTATCTATCATCTCTATCTCTAATCTCCCTTTCAAACACTTACTGCCTCTCAATTCCTTAACCACAATTTTTCAGATGATCTTGTGTCCTCTGCTGTCTCAGCTTCCCACTCTCATGATCATTCCCTACACCTTGACATCACTGACAATTACAGCTCTTCTGATTTTAATTTCAAGCCTCCTACTCTCCAACCCATCTCTTTTCAGGTCATTCTCTATAGCACCTTAACTCCAACAATTCTTCAACCTGATCAGAAACACCAATCTATTCACCCTATCATATTTTCACAGTTCATCAACCTCTCACAGCCTTACTTCTTGCCATGTCTGAAAGTATAATGCCTCCTTTGCTTCTACCCCAGACTACTTTGCCCATCTCTCCCTCATCACACTTGCCTGGCCAAATCTCAGTTCTGGTTAATCCAAAACTGCCTACTCAGTGCCTGCACATAAGCAACTGAATATGGCTGGAGAAAAATGCACAACCATATTGACTGGTCTCACTATAAATTTATGACCACTCACTCAGGCGGGCCCTTAATGCCTGGAAACCTTACTATGTTTCCCTGGTCAATTCCTTCTCCCATACTCATGGACTACCATTTCACCTCTTCTTCTTTCCTCCCTCTCTCAAACTTCCACCTCCTTACTTTCAGTTAATAACGACTTTAGCTAGAGTAGGCTAAACTTCTATAACAAATAAACCCCCAAATGTTATGGCTCCAATGCAATATAAATTTATATCTTGCTCACATAATAATCCAGTGTGGGTGTTCCAGGTCCGTGGGCAGCTCTCCTTCATCCAGGTACCTTCTTTCTTGCGGCTCTCTCAACCCCAGGAGTTGGTATATCATCATCTGCATACTCAAGCTGGCAGTAAGGAAAAACACATGAAATAAGAACACTGGTCTGACAGTGGCAGGTATCATTTCTGCTTACATTCCACTAGCAACAACGTAAGATTTGACCATACCAACCGAAAGGCTGAAAAAAATTGTCTGTGTGCCCAGGAAGAAAGGGAGAATAAACCATGATGGACAATTAGCAATTTGCCAAAATGATCTTGCTTATTTCACCAAGAAAATAGAAGCAACTAGAAA